CCATAATGTTGGAAAAATAATTCCTTTTTGCATATCATTTTACTCCTCTAAGCAGTGCATATTTTCTTGACATGCATGCAAACAATAAATTTGTCGTTAGAATAGACATCTGCCACAAGTCTGTTTTCAGTCTACCATGTCTTTGAACTCGCAGTGCTAAACGTTCATCAGAGGTCAAAAGAAAGCAAACCTTTTCTGACATACTTGTCTCCAAACTAGGTTACGACACTACTTTGTTTTTTAATTTTGCTTAAGTCAGTTATTCTTTTGTCTACTTTACATTATGAGATTAGCATAAATGTACTATAATAAACAATTTATAGTGTATATAAGTTTGCAGTTATGCATTTGTTAATTAAATATTTGCTATGTTTAATTGACTTGGTATAAATTTATACATGTGTGTATATTTTCTGTTTTTTAATAAAACATGGCCTTTTTTTAAAATCACTTTCGATTTTGTATTTGTGCATTATTGTTTGGATAGCATATACTGTTAAGTGCAAAAACAAATCTTTACTTTTTTCTAGATTTCATATTGGATATATTTGATTTTATTTCAAAGGTTTGATATATCACGAAAAAGCAATTTAATTTTAAGTGCACCCTTATATTCTTTTCAAACAGAGAAAAGGGTAAAATCAACACAAAATTGAAAAGAGATATGTACCTCTAGTTAGAGAGAGAGAGAGAGCATGGCATACTGACTGATTTAAAGTGTGGAATCAGTGTTGTCTTTTCTGTCTTAAAGTAGAAAGATAATGATATTTTTAATGCTTTAAATCAATAAAAGAAACTAGTTTAGCACACTGGAAGCCATGGAGAAAAAATATTAAAATGGTAAGGATAAGAATAGTATTAAAAAGGATAATCAGCTTATTCTTGGCAAGTAACAAAATTTATGTATATGTTCTTTCACTTCGAGATATTTGTATTTTTATTGCTTTTATATGAAAAACCTGTCGTAAATATGACAGCTTTACCTCTCCTTCATACCAGATAACCGTGTGTAGTAATGTGCAGAAACGACGTGTAAAGGGATTTATCATGTCCTCTGTCTGTTCTGCCGGCTTTTATATACTGTAAATCACTTTTTATTCGCGAGAACTTTATTTTCGCGTAATTACGCGAAAATTTAATTCTCGCGTATAAAAGTATTCCTTAAGATTATATAGAGCAAGAACCACAATTCATGAAAATTTTGTCTCGCTTATCAAGAGTCAACGACTATCTCGCGAAAATAAGGTGTCGCGAAAATTTAGTGATCTACAGGATAGATAACGTGTGGATGTTGTTTTTAGGTACCAGAATTATTATTTTTTAAAACTAAGCAAATTTAATGATCAAGATATAAAATTAAAATGACTAAAGCAATGGAACATCATCTAGTAACTGGAATCCGGAGCAAGTTTACCGACTTGCTTTGTCATTTGTATTTGTCATGTAACAAAGTTTTAAAAAATATTTGAAAATAAACAATAAATGATTCCATAAGCAATTAAAGAAAAGATGTGTGAAACAGCTAGGTGTTTCTCTACATCAAACACTATTGACATGACACAGGGAGCATGCAAACATGATTGTTTTGAATGAATTAAAAGAAATCGAAGTGATCGTTCCATGTAGTAACAGTAGCATGTATTACTTTCCTCACACGTGACGTAGAAAAACAAAGTATTATCAATCATGGAGTGATTTGGCATACTTGCTGAGTGACTCCGGAAGCACAGAGTACATACAAGGCATAAAAATGCAAATCCAAAAAGTTGATAGGAATACTACAAATACTGAATGAAATCAATTTATCTACATTTGTATTGAATGAAATTGATTGATAGTCCGGAAGGGCAAATTTATGGCACAAAACGGGGAGTATTGCATGATGTTGGTAATATGACAAATCAAATATTTTGCATGATTACATATGTGTTTAAAAAACAAAACAATCTGACTAATCTTATTAGTTCATTACAATGCAAAATTACTCGAGAATTCCTTTTTAAATATCCTTTTTTTTTTTTTACAAACACTTATGGTGACATTTTTGATGATTAGAAAGTTAAATGTTGTCACTCATAAGAGTAAAGGTTCACTTAGGTCAACGTTTTAATTTTTTAACATAAAACTCTACTAATTTCAGAAATAACAAAAATAACGAAGCCTAAAATATTTGAAACTAACACTAAATCTGACATTGATTGCTTTACATCAGATTCTTGTAACGCTAGAGCAAAGGCCTAAATCTAATCATGCTTTAAATTTGTTCCATTTGAAGAATATTCACAACAGTGCTTGAATACTTATGTTAAAAAACATTTTAATCTTCATTACATGATGATATATTAAACAATGTGATATCTTAAAGTTTAAAGAGAATAAAAACTAAGTATTAACCTCAACTGTTCAATAACTATTAATGATTCACTTTCTATAGACATATTTAAATGAAAAGACCAAAGGATCACTTCATTATAAATAGGGATCTGACCTATAGGACCGGGCTTGGTTTTATTATCTACAAAAAACTTGTCGATTTCCGTTCTGGTTAATGACATTAGGCTGAATACATATAACAATTTGTTTTTCCTAAATCTTTATTTCAGTGAGTAGAGATGGGAGGAACCCTTTCAATGATTTTCTGACTTTTTTTTATCTCCAAATGTAATAATTGATATTTTTCTTTACTTCTCATTGTGCATAATGACAATGTCTACTGTCTCTGAAATTCTGTTCTTTATGTCTAGGCTATTTATCCGTGGATATAATAAAACATGCCATTAATGTGTGCAAATTATATAGGCCTAAATGAAATCCAAGGGAAAACAGTTACTGATATATGTAGCCAAAGTCATTTTGATTAAATCCTAAGGAATATATACAATTGAAATTCATCGCATGTCAATGCTGCCAAGAATACTTGTATCGAGTAACACAAAGTGAGTTATTCTTGTCCTCGGAGAAAGTGTGCTTATATTGTTCCGCCTGACTGACAACTGTATATTGGATTGTTACGATTTGATCTCTCTTAAGTGTTTCTTATATCAAGAATGGGCATGCATAAAGGACAGATAATTGAAAAAAAAATCCACAAGTCAATAAAAAAATTAAAATACATGTAGTCTTTGAAAAGGCGAAAAATTAAAACTTTAAAAGTGTAGTACCAGGTGGATTCGAAACCCCGACTTTAAAAAGAAAGTATCGATAGTGTAAAAGACAGCCCATATATCAACTGAGCTAGTCTGACTATAAAATTGAATGGCATAAATTTTAAGCAGATTATCAAAATCAGGTTTCCTTATTTTTTGTAGGTTTTTTTGGGAATTTCGATCCTAGGGCAGGAGTGCTCCTAAAAAAATCCTATCTTAAATTATTCTTTACATCCCAACCTATCAAAATATCACAGTTTTATTTAGGGGCAGGCCACAGGGGCCAGTAACATGCTAAATTTGAATTTACGTATTGACTATATATATACTTTTTTTTTGTATATATATAGTCAATACGTAAATTCAAATTTAGCATGTTACTGGCCCCTGTGGGGCAGGCCTGTCCTGAAGGACTTCTAGGCTAGAATACCTGCAAAAATCAACGCTTTAACGGACAAAATGGTGTTTTGGTCAACTTTAGAGGTTTATTGTAAAGTTATAAATAATAAATATTTGGTATAAAATACAAATTTGAAAAATTTAGACATATATACGATAGAAAACAACAAATAAAGATTAATTTTTAAATGTCACTTTTTCCGGGAAATTGTTCTCTCCTATGGGTCAATTCTTTTGTCATAGTGAATACATCCTTGTTTATTTAGAATTATCCTGATATTCAGATTTTTTTCAAACTCAACATCAAGTAATATGTGCAATCTTTTGTACCCTTAGCTCAAAAGGTTTTATGTACGTTATTTTGGATTAAGTTTTAGTTGATCTTTATTATTAAAATTTATAAGATATCAATTGTTATTTTTCATGATATTTATTATACCTTACATACTATTCTCACTTTTGTAAAATATTTCTGAATCCTTGGTTTAATTATATTTTACTTCTATTTAAAAAGGTTGGATCCGTCAATTATGGCATGTCAAACGTTGCTATATTCGATAATCTTGTGATGTATATTCAAAATCTTGTGATGTATGTTCGAAATCTTGTGATGTATATTCAAAATCTTGTGATGTATATTCAAAATCTTGTGATGTATGTTCGAAATCTTGTGATGTATATTCAAAATCTTGTGATGTATGTTCAAAATCTTGTGATGTATATTCAATATCTTGTGATGTATATTCTAAAACTTGTGATGTATATTCTATAATCTTGTGATGTATGTTCGAAATCTTGTGATGTATATTCTATAATCTTGTGATGTATATTCAATATCTTGTGATGTATGTTCAAAATCTTGTGATGTATATTCTAAAACTTGTGATGTATATTCTATAATCTTGTGATGTATATTCAATATCTTGTGATGTATGTTCAAAATCTTGTGATGTATATTCAATATCTTGTGATGTATATTCGAAATCTTGTGATGTATATTCTATAATCTTGTGATGTATGTTCGAAATCTTGTGATGTATATTCGAAATCTTGTGATGTATGTTCGATAATCTTGTGATGTATATTCGAAATCTTGTGATGTATGTTCGATAATCTTGTGATGTATATTCGAAATCTTGTGATGTGTGTTCTACAATTCAGTGATGCGTGCAATAAAATTGCATGACGCAACAGAAAAGTAAGGACAATTTTCATTGGTTAGAAATAACGAAAGTAGCTGAAGCGTCGGGATATGTAAAAATTATAAATATTTATAAACCACGACCCAAGTACCTGTGATGCAGGTGAGAAAAAACACATCAGTTTGTTTATTGCAGCACTAATTACGAGATGCACGAGTGTTGTTCCTGGTGACATGATGGAGATATTTCGGCCTGCTAGGGAAAAAACTCAGTAAACGTAGATATATTGACAAAATTTGTAGGTAGCTTGTAACGATATGTCACGATGCTGCATTGTCAGATACAGTATTTATACATGCATGCTAAAAAGTTAAATCTCGTAGTAATCAATATAGCAGAAGAATAATGAAGAGTACATACTACAAAAACTGTGCAATTTGTAGCAAGATTAATTTTTGTTTAACAGCTGTTTTTATTACATTTTATTTCGTATTATTACTACCAAATACTGCTACCGTTTGTTAATGTTATGCACATGGTTATCTTGTACTTGCAAGTAAATGTAACATTTAAAAAAAAAAATAATGAAAAAATAAGTCATTTAGGCTATTTGATAATAACATGCTAAATGAACATGTTTTGCTTTTTAATTCTCCTTCACTCAGTCTTTGTATAATGTATATTTTTAGACGAGCTGATCGCCAACCAGGAGATCAGAATGATAGCATCTGCTCCTGCCACTCTAAGGATGGTAAGAAGGAGGGGGACCCTGCATATTTTGCATGGAATGAAGTAAAGGCCATGGATTTCTCTGATCCTGAATGTACAAAAAGGTGAAATTATTTTTCAAAATATGACTGACATCTTGTTTCTGGATGGTGGGTGGGTGGAGTTTAAATGAGAATATTTTACTAAAAATCTTTAAAAGGGTACATGTATAAACAGAGTAGCTTACAACTGAATAAAAAAATAATTCAAGTTTAATTATTTTACAAAGGAGGAAAAAACTCAAAAGTGAGGAGTCCCTGTCATCTTCACAGATGGACCAGTTGCAGATTCCACAAGCACCAAAATGTCAATATCAAGAAAAAGTAAAGCTCATTTAAAACACCAATGATGACAAATGACCAACACTGAAACATTTTCAATAATTTTTAATAATATATAAAGTTCTTTTAACTGTACATGATTTACAATATATTTTCAGTTGATATCAGAGCACAACTACTCAGCATCCTGCACATTTAACTGTACTCAAGAAATGCAGCGCCTCTCAACAGAAATACAACTGGAAAAGGAATTGCTTGCCCTAAAAATAGAGTCTAGTAAAAGGAAGCCAATATCAATCCACGATATTAAATACAACGAAGAGAAGGTACATTTAAAGGAATTCCAATTGTGATTTCCTATTTCCTAACAATTTCAGTTACTGTAATAAAAACTTGTTGTTGCCATTGAGGGATGAACATCTTAGATTGACTGTTATGTTAACATATTTTGTTATTATTTGGGAGTGTTAGGTCTCTGATCAGCAGGGGCATTTTCTCTATATAAGAAGAAAATGGAGACTCCCTACCCACCCGATGTATTTTGTCGGACAGTTTTCTGTACATTGCAGGTAAATTTTTTATTTATTAACTTTCCAGCCTCTTATTGTAGAGTACATTTTGGGGTTTGAAGTCAGTTTTTGCTTTTCTTTAATTTTTACAAAAAAAATTATTTAAATTCTCCTTTTCTTAGAATAAAATTCAAAAAGTAGCTTCTGATTGTAATGTATAAGACTACAGACATTGAACTTTGATTTGTTATCAAAAGGATTGATTTAAACTTGTCTAAATTAATTGTAAACAAAAATAAAAGGGGACACCTGCTATTTCTTTAAGTGTTTTTCACTGGGGGGTGGGGAAACTTTTTTGTACATACTTAAGCAATAGGAGGGATTAGATAAGAATCAATTAGTATATCAGAGTCTTAAATAATATACTTTGCATAAGCATAAAAAAATTCTATATCAGTCTTTTTGAAACCTTTGAATTTTGCTTAATTAACTATGATTTATCCAATTTTGGAGCTTTTTACCTAATTCTGGGTAGAATCCACCCTTATGAAATTATTGACTCAATTTTGACTTAATATCACTTTATTAACATTAAAGCACAAAAACAATTCATTGTAAAAACAGTTCATTGTACAAATATTTTATTTATTACAGTCACCAATATATCCAAATATCATCACCGGCCCAGACGTCATTCACTCCTTTGAATTGTGCTGGTAGCAGTAAGGTGTCATCATTTGAGATGGTCACAGTATCCAATACACTGAAGTCACAGGACTCAAATTTCATACATGTTCACAGGTAGGTGTATAGTCTTTGAAATTACCACAATTGACTAATTCTGGGACAGGTAAGTATGTAAGTATAGGAATGAGAGCACCAAATCCCCGGATGCACACATGGCTTTGTTTGTTATGGAACATTAAACCGAATACTGAATGGGTAGGCGTTACGCCATTGGCTGAAATCAGGTATTTAATTGTTTTCATTTTAAAGTAAAATTAATGACCTTTGAAATAAATGATAGGATGAGGGAATATTACAGAAACTATAGAAATGCCAGGGAAGATTTTAGGAGTGGGGGTTGATTTTTTATGCCGCGTGTTATTTACTGCGAATCTCTATAAGTTGAAAATAACTGCAATTTTGACCTATAAACGCCATGGGACCATATATTTTTTTCAGTATTTTTTGTTAGGGCTTAGAACAAAGTTTGAAATGATGCTAAAGATTTTTCTGAAATTGTCATAGTAAAGTACTGAGAAGGCCTAAGGTTTGTATGGAGTTCTATGGGAAAATAATTAGTGGTCTTTTCCCTATACAAGATGCTGTCTGATGGCGTAGTGTAGAATGTAGCGTAGAATGTTTTCCAAGTCAGCTTAAATGCAAAGGTTTGTTTTAAAATTTATCATAATGACTTGCAAAAATTTAATGCAGTTAAATTTATTGTATTCTTGAAAAATTGACTGTAACACAATTTTTTTACACAATTACAAATAATCAAATTAATTTTTTTCCAACTTTTTTTCAGGGTCTCTGCCAAAATCTTTTGAGGATTTTTCCTCTGCTAGAGCATCCATGGATGCAATTGAAACAACCCAGGACATCCCAACACATATGGATAATCAGGCCATGGCCTACAGTATGTACAAAAGTTGCCATACTTTTAAAGCAGTAACTTGCGTGCCTCCAAATGGTGCACTTACATTTTGCTCCATGCTGTACCCAGGTTCTACTTCTGATGTAGCTATTGTACGTCACAGCCAAGTTTTACGAAAGTTCAAAGCTGGAGACCTTATTTTGGTGGTCAAAGGTTTCACCATTCATGACCAGTTGCCCCAGGGTGTCTGCTTAATTATAAAAGCTCTTTTATCGACACGAGGCCAGTTTACCATACAAGAAGCAGCACTGTGTTACAAGATTGCTAAAGCACTTATTCATGTGGAAAGAGCCAACGAGAGGATAAAGAATTACGAGATTCTCCGTTACATACCATCTACTTACAGACCAATCTCAACAAAAATATTTCAACTCTGTTCTTGTCTTGTAAACTTGCAAGCTCCACTTTTGAAAGAAATTTTAAAGATACATGTACTTATTATAAATTTGCATTGGCGTGTGACAGTATACACTAAACAGTGAAGATATTCATACCAAAGTGCAAGGGATAAGCAAATTTTGATTTGTTATCAATGTCAATGGTTATATTTGTTAATTTTGTAGTATGTTGTAATACATGTACTTCAGAAAATGAAAATCCCTTTTGTTAGCATGGATTTATTACAAGAATGTTTGGCAATTCCATTCTTCATTTGACAATATAATTTGGAAGAGGGTTTACTTATAATTTTAAATCTCTAGTTTAAAGTATATTTACCTTTAAAGCACAACTCAACAAATTCATGTTTTCAACAATTTATCTATTAAGAAAGACAAAAATGTTACATTTTCACTTTGAGAATAACATCTTCAATTCATTAATAAAATGATTCTAAATTTTGATATTCTTTTTTTATGTAGTACATAGATTTTATTAATCATCATTGCTATTTAAAATAGTCTTATAAGCCAGAAGTTTTATGATGGATTGTGACATATCATGTCATACATTTATGAGACTTAGGAACATTCAACACATTTAACATGATTACCCATTTTCCATTGTTAGAAAATTCTAGAGGTACAAAACTAAGTGTCAAGAAGTTCAAACCAGAACTCAGTTTTCCATCAGTGCTGGAATGAAAATGTTAATGTAGAAATCTATCAGCTTTGGAACATTTGCTGTCCATTCAATGTCTTTTACTATTCTAATCACAATGCAGTCTACTCTTGTCCACACAATTAAGTCGCAGAATGTTTTGTTACATATGTGTAGCTGGCCTTGAATTTGATGATAGTATGGGTGACTGGTTTTCAGGCACAGGGTATCTTGTTTAAGATCTAAAAAAAAATCAAAAAACACTTAAGTTGTGTTATACCAGTACATATCCCCTCCTTTTTCAATATCTTCATACCATATTGAACAGCTGCACTTGTAAATTAATACATGTTTTGAAATCATTTACTCACCAAGATTTTTAATTTCAAAGTACTGGACAATACAGATTTTTAATGTTATTTACCTATGAAAAATCCTTCAAATTTTGTGCCCCATCTGCTACTGTTGAAGACGATGCTGTATATGGACACTTCACCTCTACAATATCAGGAATGGCGTCTTTGGCTTCTGGAGTTTGATAAAATACACTGCATGTTGGTGGTCGAACAACTAAGCCATCAGGTGAAGCTCCCAACACTCCGGATTCATGCAACCATATCCTTTTCAGAAAAAATTATAATACTACTGAATGCAAACAAACCATAATACAATTGATTTTGTAATGCAAACAAAGTCTAAGTAGAGCTTTTATAATCCTTCCACTTCAAAAAGCAAATTTTCTGGAATATGTTGGTAACTGAATATTTATGCCCCGCCATGAATATGGCCGGGGCATATAGTGTTTGTCATGTCCGTCTTCCGTCCTTCTGTCCTTCCATCCCACTTTGTGTTTAGCTCTGTTCAAAGCTAAGTTTCAAAGAAACTATCCAAGATATTTTCATCAAACTTCATATGCTGATAGATATTGATGAGAGCTATGCAACTGCAACAACATTTTTTGACCTTGACCTTTCCTTTGACCTTGACCTGACTTTTCTTAAATAGTGTTTAGCTCAGTTTTAAACATACCATTCAAGATGGTGTTATCAAACTTTACATGTTGATACAAACTTGCATAGATGATGCATCTAGAGATGAACACTACCGGACTTGCTTCGGATGCTGGATCTGACCTACATTTTCCAGATGAGTGACCAAATTAAAGTTTTTGGAGCAGGTCTATTCTTAAGGAACTATAAGCCCTACTTAGACCAAACTTGCTTGGATGATGCATCTAAGGATGGACACTACCAGACTTGCTTCGGATGCTGGATCTGACCTATATTTTCCAGATGAGTGACCAGGTTGAAGTTTTTGGAGCAGATTTATTCCTAAGGAACTATCAGCCCTACTTAGACCAAACTTGCATGGATGATGCATCTAGGGATGGACACTACCAGACTTGCTTCGGATGCTGGATCTGACTTACATTTTCATTCCCAAGTAACTATAAGCCCTACCTAAACCAAACTTGCATGGATGATGCAGCTAGGGATGGACACTACCAGACTTGCTTCGGATGCTGGATCTGACCTTTATTTTCATTCCCAAGTAACTATAAACCCTACCTGAACCAAACTTGCATGGATGATGCATCTAGGGATGGACACTACCAGACTTGCTTTGGATGCTGGACCTACATTTTTATTCCCAACTAACTATAAGCCCTGCCTGAACCAAACTGATCAAATTTTATACATGTACAAATTTCATGTTGCTTTACTAATATATCCTCGGCGGGGCATTCATGTCCTATGGACATATTTCTAGTTTTTTTTTTTACAATTAGACTTCAGTAATTGATTTCTGTTTGTCACCAGGATAAGTCCTGTTATTTGTTTTGACATTGAATGTTAACATGTCAGAGGTTGAATGAATGTTATTTTGTGCTGTATACCTGACTGCTCTACAGCTGCATCAAAGTCCTTTTCATACTTTCTCAAAGCATCATCTTCATGAGTGATACCCCATGCAACAGCCTTGATGGACTCCAGATTGTAAGCCGACATCAGCTGTTTCTTCAGTGACAATGTCAATCTGGAGAAGAAAATATGATTTTTGGTTATTAATCTTATATTTCCTGCATCTTTATGTACAAATATCTAGTCATTACAGTCGAACCTCATTATCTCAAACTCAATGAGACCAAGAAAAATGTTGGAAATATCCGTGGATTCAAGAATAATACATAAAGAGTTATCAAGAATAAAATGTCCCAGTCTTTTATAAATGGTTTGGACTTCAAAATTACTTTGACATATCCATGAAATATGAGATAATGGGTTTGAGATAACAAAGTTTGACTGTAATTTTAAAAGTCTTTTTCGCAAAAATTTAATCACACGTCTTACCGCCTTTGCTTAGAACTGAGAACTGCACCAAAGTTGGAAGCTGATATGCTTTATTTCCTTACAATCGACCACATTGGGTTGTTTCGTTGCCAATGCAGCTCTTTTAATGGATTCAGGGATAATGCATGCTGTAACCATACCATAGGGGTATCAGAATGAACATACTCTGGTGATGTTAACAGGTCTTCAATGAGAGGTACAGGTGGACCAGGTTCACATGGCTCTGGTTCAAGAATCCAATTCAATGCTGAAAAATTTCATTACTTGTGTCATTCTCAAAAATATCATCCATAATATCCATATCACATATACCAAGTATTTATATAAGAGTCCATACATTTCATTTTAGTGAACACTGTCATGGGTTTTTGTAATGTATGCATTACATATCAAATTTACAACTCACTTGCATATATTTGTTCAGAATTGTTCCTGTATATAATTTTGCACGTGGCATTCTTAGTGTGAAAATGCCATGTAAAAATTGGTGCAAATGTACAATTAATATTTACTTAAGTACAATTAATATTTACTTAATTATTAACAAGGTTTCATAATGACAGAGTATTTAAATAATAGAAGAATGATCTGATAATTCGCAAGAATATGAAACAAAATATTTTTTTTAATGCAATTGAATAATTTATTTTTCCTTTCAAAAATGTATGCTCATGTACAAAAATGCTATCATATTTATAATATTGTCTTTCCAATTATTCAAAGGTTGTTATTAATATTTATTACATAGTATGTTCAAAAATTGGGCAATATACATAGCCAACTATATTATACTCCTCATCTTTGTACATTTGTTCACAATTAAAATTAACAATCGGTCAGTAACAAAATAACAGTTTCATAATACTCGTAATATAAAAATCAAATCAAACTTAAATAACAACAATAGTAACACCAAAATCATAACTTCCTTCTTATATTTTACCAATAAACCTTTCAAGGTGCAAAAAACACTGGTCACTTTCATCAAAGGGTCAGTTTAAAGCACTTCAAATATGAAGCAAATTTTTTAACAACTGATTTATTTATATTTAATGATTGATCATTTTTAAAAAAAAAAAAAAAAAACAAGAGGCCCATGGGCCACATCGCTCACCTGAGCACTGTGGCTAGGAAAAAGTAAAAATTGGTTTTTTATTGAAAAGTTTAAATCCAAAAGTAGTCCCTTGACCAATCATGGCTTTGCTTTTCTTGAGAAGGTTATTTTTAAAGAATTTTCCTATATATTTCTATATAAAATTTGATCATCCTTTGTGGCCCCGTCCTACCCCCGGGGGACATGATTTGAACAAACTTGAATCTACACTACCTAAGGATGCTTCCATATAAATATGATCAATCAGGGTTTTGCTGTTCTTGAGAAGAAGATTTTTAAAGATTTTTCCTTTATATTTCTATGTAAAACTTTGATCTTCCATTGTGGCCCCGCCCTACCCCGGGGGTTATGATTTGAACAAACTTGAATCGACACTACCTGAGGATGCTTCCATATAAATAGGATCAATTATGGCTTTGTCATTCTTGAGAAGAAGATTTTTAAAGAATTTTCTTATATATTTTTATGTTAAACTTTGGTCAGCCATTGTGGCTCCGCCCTACCCCCGGGGGTCATGATTTGAACAAATTTAAATCTACACTACCTGAGGATGTTTCTCCATAAGTTTCATTTTTCCTGGCACAGTGGTTCTTGAGAACAAGATTTTTAAAACATACCATCAAATTTTCATTAATTCCCAATTATCTCCCCTTGAATGAGGGTGTGGCCCTTTATTTGAACAAACTTGAATCCCCTTCACCCAAGGATGCTTTGTGGCAAGTTTGGTTGAAATTGGTCCATGGGTTCTAGAGAAGAAGTCGAAAATATGAAAAGTTTACAGACAGACAGATGGACAGACAGACAGACAAACAGCTAGATAGACAAAATGTGATCAGAAAAGAGCTAGAAATGAAACATTCCTCACCACAAAAGCCAGAAGAATATAGGGACCACCACCAGTAACATGTTTCTGGGAAGAACCAAACCATGCAGAGATAAATATCAATAGTCCTGAATCTTCGATGCAGGACCAAGTACGAGAATTGCTACAAACACTACTCCGGAGACTTACCTATTATCCTATGATGTAACGTACTTTGTCCACTGCAGCTGGTTCCCTCATAAGCTGGTAGCGAGGACAGTTCAGGATGTCCTGTCAACTTTATTCCTCAACTTCCTGTCTTGGACTGAAAAGCAATAAGTGGAAATCTTTAGTGTTGCCTAGTGACTTTGAATTAAAAAGAAAGTTGCAAGATTGTGAAGGGGGGGGGGGGGGGGGGTACTGATGCTGTGCATTTTAATTAAATGTACAAAATCTGTATTTCACAGTTTAATGCATTCATGTATTTTGTGAATTGTCTTAGGATTCATGTAATAATTGTTGCTATGTATTATTA